TTTTTTTTTTTTTTTTTTTTTTTTTTTTCATTCTTCTTTCGTTTCTTCTTCCTTCTTGACAAAAGTCAATTTTTTGTATTCTTTACCTAACTTCTATATCGATGGTTGAAGCTCGTACCAAAATTGATGATAGCGTCGAACTTGTCCCTTTTTCTAGGACATTTACCTTCTCGCCTCATGTACTCGCCAAATTCGCAGATAGGTATCACACATTCGTTATTTTGAATGCATCTGTAAAAAATAAATGATTTTAAATTTGGATATTAAATAATCATAGGATAGGATAGGATAAATAATGTTATTTCGAAATGAAAATTAATTAGTATACTTACAATCTGTCGCTCAAAGAAAAATATCCTTTTCCGCGTTTCGTTTTGATGCAGTTTTGATTATATTCGTAACAGTAACATTGGCACTCTCCGTCCTGCGTGATTTTCGGTGTAAATTCTGAAGGACATCGGCACCTGTCGATTCGATTATCACGAATGAATTATTTTCTCTCTTATATTAATTAAAAATCAATTTAATTTTGTATAGATTAATGTTAATTATAGACTTACGATTTTCTTGGCGGTGCTCTCCTCATATTTTGCGGCTGCGGAGAGAGCTGATGGTGACGATAGAATCTCTGCTCGAGGGATTTCTCGTTCGTATCGTATTCGGATTTTTCTCTACATTCGCATTCCGTGTGATTGTAAAATGATAATTTTTCCACCACGCTTGCACCAAGGATGCTTGTCATCTGTAATAAGATAAATAAGAAAAACCAACAATTAATTGATTAGTAAATGTACCACAAAAGTATCAAATATTTGTGCAATTTGTTTATATTCAATATTTAGAAATATTTCGTAAAAGATCTCTATTACGTTTTTAATTTAAAAGTTAACAAATGTATTCGATGCACTAGCGCAAACATATGAACGTAAAAGTGGCGTTACAGTAAATTGCAAAGTATAATTATCAAATGTGTTATTTATTCGAACAGTAGAGTATTTAAAAATATTTAATACGATCTCGCGAATTCCTTATTTATTTTGGTTATTTTTAATGAAAAAAAAAAAATAACAAATTAGCTCTATTACATCGATGTATTATAGCAGCAGACATCTGGACGCAAACTGGCATTTGTCCCAGTTCGTTTAATCGTGCTACTTGAACGAGTCGGGCGTTGTTGCGAGAGTTGTACTCCGGAATAAAATCGTGAGTTGATAAAAAATATTACTAACGATCGTTCGGTATCACTTCGTTACTAATTGAGCTCAATTAACCTGACTCGCTTGTATCTGCCTTATAAAACGAATGATACGAGTAAAACTTAGCCGTGCAGAAAAAGAGAGAAAAAGAGATGACCCGCGTTACGGTGAGTCGCGTTTAGACGTGTCTTTAATTAACTTTAATTGCCCTAAGTCAATGTTTGCACGTACCGATTTCCGCTTGGATATCTTACGTGATTCGATTATGCGATTTTTCTCCCCCCCCCCCATTCTCCCATCTTTATTTTCATTTTATATTTTTACGTCTCGTTTCTTTCTAATTTTCTTTTTTTTTTCTTTTTGTCGTTCTTGTGTTGCTCTCGTTGAATCAGACATGATTAACAAATTTTTTTTTCTCTTCAGTCATTTCTTGCTTCAATAACCTCAATGAAGACATTAAGGAGGAATAAAAGCCTCAGGAAACATTATCCTTAAGTGTCTCGATGAATAATTGTCTTATCATTAGACTAATAAGAAAAAAAAAAAAGAAGAAAAAGAGAATCACATAAAAATAACAATTCAAGGGGATCACGAAGATCGTATGAGATCGATCGCTCAGTTAACTCGTGTCAGACACGATACATGATCGAATCGTTTGCTCGATGACAATAGGCTAGCGGAACGAAATGCAGTGATCGTAGACTCGAAGGTGCCACCGATCAATCGCGTCACGATTACGTTTATGGAATCCTATGGTGAGGGGGGCAAAATGGTTATGGTAACGTTCGATCACGAAGTTACATAGAGCTTGAACCAACATCATTTATTAACACATGAAATATATCTTGAGAAATGTTAAAGGGGAGTCTAACGAAGCTAAAGAATGGATATATGATTTTAAAATGGGCTATGTCAGAACGTTAAGTGAACTAACATAATAGGTATTTTTTGCCGTCATGGTTGTGTATATTATTCTTATCTTGAAATCAACATTAAGAATAGTCATCAATTTTTGATCGAATACGATCGATCGTTCCGTTTTCTCAGGTTGTATTTTTAATATAATTATAATATAACCGCTATAGTTATTTGAACTTGGTAAAGGAATGAATAATGATGATGATGATGATGATAATAATGGCATATGATCGTTATAGAACAAAGGATAAATGTTCGATACGAATGCATTAAGTGAAGTTGAAGGAAAAAAAGATATAGGAGCAAACGAGTGACAAATTACGATACCGGATTCCGAGGGTGGCTTATCTCTTTTATATTATTATTTCTTATTAAGCGTCCTACTTGATCTCATCTTGTCTGCTTCTATTTCTCTCATTCCCGTATTTCTTTTTATTCATTGGTCGTTGACAAAGCGCAAAGATCCGGCAGGATCTTTGCAATACGAGCCGCATCTATACTCCCTTATTTCTCTTTCTTCATCTTCTTCTTCTTCATCTTCTTTCTTCCTTCCTTCCTTTCTTCCTTTCTTTCTTCCCTTCATTCGTCCATTCCCTCTTTCTTTCTTTCTTTATTTCACGTGTGCATGCTGTCAAGTCGGTACACCAGGATTGAGATTCGCGATCGTCCCTGACGAATAGCCCGACCGAGAGATCGTGGTCATAAATTTAATGTCTCCGAGACACACGAAGGATAAACCCTTGAAGTTTACCTCCATAGTTTCGAATGCATTCTCTGGTCGGTATAATGTCTACATAATGCTCGTACTTGTGGTTCGTTGTTATTTATCCATTTAGGAAAAGAAAAATAACTTTAGAATCGATCACTATTTCCAAGATAAAAATATTATTGGTATTTGTTCATAATCAAGTAAAGTTGAGGGTACTACATCGAAGTATCTACAAACTACTCATGATATTTAAAGTCAACTACGAAGCTTGTTGTCGGTAGCGTTTGAGTTAAGGTTACCGACCTTAGTTTTAACCATGCGACGGACGGATTCTCAATCGTACCTTCAACCACCCCCGTAGCTTAACTTCGTGACAGCCGGAAGATTACAGAGCGGCTTCGAGATAGAAATCGGATCGGTCGAGGAGAATCGAGAGTCTCTCTCTCCAATCGGATAACGATCAGAGGGAGTATTCCTAATGTCACTCGTAACAGGAAGTTTAAGTTTGTACGTATATAATACTTACTTGTAAATGTAGGTAAAATGAACTTTGATCGGGGATCCGATTATACCCCTGAGTTTCGTTACTTTCAACGATTGAAGAATTTATTTCAACATTTATTAAGATTCTTATCACGATAGATAAATATTGGTCTGTTCGAATAGTTCGTGTCGATTTATATATATATGTATATTCGAATAATATTATTTAACATACATACACAGATGTTTCTTAAAATCGAATAGTACAATATTAATTCGAATATTTATCAATAACGTTAAAGGATTCTTTTTCTCGATCTTTTTTTTTTTTAATAATAGATCGAAAAAATAATTCGATAATTCGTTCACGAGGTCTACAATTTTTCCTGTAATTTTGCATAGAATACGAGTTATTAAGTAAAGTTCAGGCGGGTTGATTCGTGGTAGGTAAAACGGCGAATCCAGGAATTTAATCCCCCGCTAAGACAATTTTCTCCGGGTGGGAAGAGAGCAGCAGCTGACCGGACGGCTCATTAACATTCGCCGTATCTTGCCGGGGGCACCCACTCGTGAATGAAACACAAGAAGGAGGCACGAAATCACGTGCGCGCTGGATAACACCGAGCGGTGAACCGTGCGAAGAAGTGGAAGCAACACGGCTTCCACTAGGAAGCCTATCCTGCGATTTCGACGTTGCTCACGAATTTCATCCTCGTGCCTTCTTACTTCTTGGATCGTTTCGTTCGTTCGTTCGTTCGTTCGTTCCATCGCACGATCGTGATCGACACGCTTCGACAATGTTTTCGTGTTATATCGGTACAAATACAAATCGTTCCTAATTTCTCGTTTGTTTTCGATTAAAATATTATAATAAATGTATATATATATAAGAAATAAGTTTATTACGAAATTATATTTGTTTTTTTTCGGATTTATGTAATTTTAGAGAGACACGTTAAGAAACTATGTAAGATACTCGCGATCGTTTAATCAAAAAAATAAATCAACGAGATCGTGGGGTATAATCGATGTATTTAGTTTCTTTTTCGATTTGTTGCTTTTTGATTTAAGCGATTACTTAAAGAACTTTCTAGATGCGATGTCGAATAGATAATATCTCCACTTTGGAAAGTAACCTCGTGGGCGTCGAATCGTGTGATACCAGAAAGTGATTTGATAAAACACGACGCGTTTTCCTTACTGTTCGTTCTCACGCGATTCCTTACCATTTTTATTATTAAAATACGAAACTATACGCACTTTCGCTCTCTTACATGGAAATTAAGAACTTCTCTCCTCTTATGCATTACATTTTCTCGACCAATCATTTTCATCAACATTCTTTTCATTCGCGGTATCATAAAGATATGCATACCCTCGGAATCAAGTTTTTATCATCTTTCTGTATATAATTCTTGAAAATTTTGCATCGATAGTACCATTTATTCCTTGGTAAACGTTAAATGTTACCGTGTCGCAACAAATTACATCGATGAACATAATAATCCGACAACAACAACAACAACAAAAAACGATCATAATTGCGATAGGAATGCAGTTACGGTACGAACGGAATTTCATTTGAACTTTTCGTTGCACATTGATGATCCGTAAGAATATAAAAAATACGTTTAGTATTTATATTTAATTAATCGCGTATCTTGTTGCAAATCTAATATATAAATCTATCTAACGAATGCAGTTTAGAAATGTCATAGATATTGCACATTTTTCTTAATTAATTAACGAGATATTAATACGAGATAAGTCAGATTAATCGATAAGTTATTCAAAATCGTATTCGTTTAATTTCGAAATGTCTTTTGATCCGAGATGACGTATTTCGCGCAAGCGATCTGATACACAAGGATATCGAATATCCTGAAGTGTGAGGTCGCATATCTTGGAAGATAATCGAGCTTCGAACGAACGATCATCCTTAATTATTTTATGAAAAAAAGAAAAAAGAAAAAATACGAAGGATGGAATTTTTATACACTTTATTAAAGATTGAAAACGTAACCCGTTCGATAAAAAATTCGTTTTATATAGCTCCTTAAAGCCTTGCCGGAAGTGAAACTTTCCAATTTATTATCACAAAAAAGTCAATTAAATTCAATTAAGTTCGGTTATAGCAAATAATGTTTTGTATATTCGTATATTTGATATATTCGAACGAATATGTGTATATATATTTTTAACAATATTAATTAAAAATATATAAATTATATAAAAATATAAAATATTTTCAAATATACAAAATTTATATTATAAATAAT